GCCCGCCGCGCCGAGCCCCGCCTTACAGCGGTGCCTTGCGGGAGGGGGGCGCTGTGCGGGGCCACATGCGGGCCTTGGCTCGTCGGCAAGGGGTAATTTTTTAATCGACAAAGCTCTCTACCCGTGGTTAAGCCGTGTTTTTCTGGGAGGGCGTTTTCTTCACTGCGAGCCTCGCTGTGCCGTGGAGGCTTGGATGATCTTCTGTCACGTTGGGTTAGCGGCAGCCGAGCTGGGGGGAGAGGGTAGGAGTCCCTCCATTGGCAAAATATCAAAGCACCTGCTAGAATGATCCGTCACGGGTTCCAGATAAGGCTTTTGGCAGCCCGTGTGAGTTGCTCCTGTATTAACAGCTTGTTGTATTTGGTGACAGAGACCATGGCGGCCCAGAGGGAATGGACCCTGATGGTGTCATTGAGGTAAGCCTGTCCGAATTGACTAGAGACCTTAACTACTGATCGAGATAAATGCTGGATTTAATATTTTCTGGTTTTTTCTCTATTACAGAGCAATTGGAATGAGATTGTTGACAATTTTGATGATATGAATTTAAAAGAATCCCTTCTAAGGGGCATTTATGCTTATGGTTTTGAGAAGCCTTCGGCTATTCAGCAGAGAGCTATTATTCCATGCATCAAAGGTATGCAGGTGATTCATTTGTTGATATCAACATTGGATAATTAGGAAAGTGTTGTAAAATGCATACACTATTTTATTAGCGTGTGATGATACATATTTTAATATTTATTGAACGAGTGATATGATGGTACACCATCTTTCGGGACTGACCTGAAATGGAGAGAACTCTTAATATCTGATCACTTATTTCAAAGGGAATAAAATAAAACTGAAAACATGAATGACCTGTGTGGGAGCAGTAAATGTGTATCCTACTTTTTTTAGGGTATGATGTGATTGCTCAAGCTCAGTCAGGTACTGGCAAGACAGCCACATTTGCTATTTCCATCCTGCAGCAGTTGGAGATTGATCTCAAGGAGACCCAAGCACTAGTATTGGCCCCTACCAGAGAACTGGCTCAACAGGTATTGATAGTGTAGTTAAAAAAAAAAAAAGCTGCTTGTGTGTTGCATAGGTTTCAGGTTTCACAACTGTTAGACAATAAACAGACATCTTAAGGGGCTGTAACTAATATCCATTCAGAACCCATTTTGTGTTGAGTAATGGGGGATATAAACTGGCTTCTGTCCCACAAGTTCTCTGCCTGCTCTCAAAGTTGAGTTGATGCATGTGGAGGGTGGTGGGGCAGGGATGAAGGAGCCAGCGGCTATGCTGCGTCTAGTTCTGAGGAAGCATCTTCAGCAGAAAAACAAAATACAAGATACATTATTAAAGCACAGTGTTCTGAGTGGAAACAAAACTTTTTGGAAGCTATTTCAACTTGCGTGCAGTTGTGCAACATGAAAACTGCAGTGCGCATGTGGTCACTTCATTGTTTTTGTATTTTTGTGATGTTTTCCTGACTGAATGTTGTTGCATGTCTACTACACCTTCAAGACCTGGTATTCTGTTGTACTAAGTGGGAGTGTTTCAACAAAATGCTTACAGGATACTTAATTTTGGGGATGAATGTATATCAGTAATGCAGGTTCTGAAGATGAAATCTTGAACAGAAACTCAAAATAGAGTAGAAGATAGATTATATACAATTTATTGTCTTTTTCAACTACAATACATACTGAGATGCCAGTGCTAGTGAAGATTCTTTCTAAACATACTAAATCAGACAGGAAATTATAAAGGCAGATAGATCAGTGAAACTAGAACCTCTGATCAGAAGGTTTAGCCTTTGTTCTACTCTGAAGATATTGGTGAGGTGAAATTTGTTTCAAAGCCTGGCATACAGCAGTGCACTTGTACACTTACGTAAACTTCATACAGGTGCTTAGAATGCAGGCATTAACAGTTGAAAACGTGAGTTCTGAAGGCCCTGCTTTTAAAAAACTCAAATGCATGATAGTCACTTCTTTAAGTTTGACTAGTAAGGGCAAAAATGGAGCTTCAGTGCCCTTCTGAGTTAAGCTTTCTAGTGAACAATAAGAAGCAGTTGGGCAAAATCATTAGCAACTGTTTTCTAACCATAGGAGCTGCATAGTTCTTGTGCTGTCTTAGCTTTCAAAATCTATAAACAGCAATGATAACTGGGCTTAATCTTTAATATATCAGGAACTACTACTAATTGACAGGTTTTATTTTAGATTCAAAAGGTAATTCTGGCCCTTGGAGACTACATGGGAGCAACATGCCATGCTTGCATTGGTGGCACAAATGTTCGCAATGAAATGCAAAAACTTCAGGCTGAGGCTCCACACATTGTGGTTGGAACTCCAGGGCGTGTGTTTGACATGTTAAACAGACGCTATCTTTGTAAGTATGAGTTTAATTTTGCTCTTTAATAAATTTCCAATATAAATTTCACGCATTTGCTGTCATTGTAGAGGGCTGTACTGGAAAACTTAGTCCTAAAGGAGGGTGACAATAATCAAAGTATTTTGTTGATTTCTGAAAGTTAATGAGATATTACTTTTTTTATAGCACCTAAATGGATCAAAATGTTTGTTTTGGATGAAGCTGATGAAATGTTGAGCCGTGGATTTAAGGATCAAATTTATGAGATCTTTCAAAAATTAAGCACAAACATCCAGGTAAAAAAAAAACTTCTGCATGGTTAAATTCACGTGTGCAGCTTTGGTTACAGTGTAGCTGAGAACTGCTGAATTGTCTAAATCAAACTTGGTGTCCTAGGTACATGCTAATACGAAGTAATGCATTCTAGGTTGTGTTGCTGTCAGCTACCATGCCAATGGATGTGTTGGAAGTGACCAAAAAGTTCATGAGAGATCCCATACGTATTTTGGTGAAGAAGGAAGAACTGACTCTGGAGGGTATCAAGCAGTTCTACATTAACGTTGAGAGAGAGGTTGGTATCTTGTTGTACTTGCTCTGGCTGGAAGAGTTAGGTTAAAGTTCTCTTACCTTCTTGTTAAAGCACTGTGCTAAAATTACGGAAACCAAGGCTCAGCTTTGGTTTCTGTAATAATGCTAGTAGAGTATACGCAAGAAGAAGAAAAATGATGCACTGGATCAAAAATGACTAGGGTGGACCTCTTTCTTAATGTCCAGTGTCCTGTGTCTTAAGATTTGGTGCAACAGTTGCTGCAGAAACTCTGCTTAGGGTCTTGTTCCAACATTTTGGGTCATACTGACTGTAAATGCACACTACAGCGCACACTTCATTGGTTGTTGCTTTTAAGTTCCATTCTTGGCTTGGGATTCTTGTTACTTACTGAACTGTCAGTGGCATGATGCATTTCCTCGTTTACTTCTATGCAGGAGTGGAAGCTGGATACTCTCTGTGATCTGTATGAGACACTGACTATTACACAGGCTGTTATTTTCCTGAACACAAGGAGAAAAGTAGACTGGCTTACAGAGAAAATGCATGCCAGGGACTTCACAGTCTCAGCTCTGGTAAGAAAATACTTCTGAAATGCCACGTACATACTGAAAAACAAATTATAATGAGCTATTTTGGAGTGAAAAGCAGGAAAGTTATAATATAGCTGTGTGGTGCTGTATTATCGTTCCCCCTGCTTAAAGAAAAATGCTTCCTTCTATCCCTACCTGCTTTGTTCCCACGGCAGGTAGGGACGCTGGGTTTCATACATCGCTTTTTTAAAGGATACTCCCATCTGGAGTATTGCAGTTGTAGTAATTTCCACTTTTTAACTCCACAGCATGGTGACATGGACCAGAAGGAACGGGATGTTATCATGAGAGAGTTTAGATCAGGATCAAGCCGTGTCCTGATCACCACTGACTTGCTGGTGAGTATCTTACACCAAACACAACTCTGTTTAAATCTGCCAAAAGCTTCATAACTGAGTGAAGGTTCTTGTAGCCTGAACTATTTGAAGCTTCTTGGAAGAGTAAAGACTGCGTTCCACTATGGACTACACAGTTGTAGTTCATCACTAACCATGTAGTCGACAAAGAACACAAGGTAAATAACTTAACCTGAAGCCTGTGACTTGCACTGAAGACTCTGTGTTGCTTTTTCAGGCTCGTGGCATTGATGTGCAGCAAGTGTCACTGGTTATAAATTATGACCTGCCGACCAATCGTGAAAACTACATTCACAGGTTAGTTGCCTCTATCCTCTAGTTGGTGTGCTACACGGAATGTCACCTCCTCTACAGAAGTCAGCACAGAACCTCACCTCTCTTTCCTTTTAGTCCTTACCAGTAGCAGGTGGTGTTACGCATCCATTCATACAGTACCTGCCAAAAAGCTAGCAAGAAATAAAACCAGTTGTGTGGTCTGCTTTAAAAAAAGCCCTGACATGCACAGCTGTGGCTGTCAAATGAGGGAGGAGCAGAACTTTCAGACAACAAAACAAAGCAGTGGGAAAACTTAGATGTGTGATGGGTTCAGTGATGGCTGATCATTTGCTGAGATCTGGGGAAATAGAAATTGCCAGCTAGTGAACTCAATTTTTGCTGTGTAGGCTGTGGAGTATGATGATGAAAGCCCTTACTGGTGTAGCACCTTGATATTGTAGGTCCTGGCTAATTGGCAGCTGTTGCTGCTGCTCAGTGACTAGACTTTAATACTTGTAGCAAATGAGTTGTACAGGGCTGCCTTTGCTTGCAGAGGCCCAGCTGTTGGGTGCTTTTTGTGCCTTGTTTGCTTTTGGTGGCTCCTCTTACAGTGGGATTCTTTGTGTGTCTTCTGGTAGCAATTTGAGTTTTGTTTCCCTAGGCTTAGTTAACTGCTTCTAGTGACTGTCCCTAAATTAAGTAAACTGTGCTTTGTTACTTGATGTAAAAAAATACAGGAGTCGATAGCAGCAGTTGATGACACAAGATGGTGCTCAGAAACGGCGTTGACGTAATTTAGGACGTGGATTCGTAA